CCACAGTGTTGCGTGAGTGGTAACTTCATTTCCCCTTGGTACTTGCGCGCCGCAGGAAAAAAGAGTCCATGGTTTTGTTAACGTAACACACAAAAAGGAGTAGCAGGTATATATGCTCCGTTGTAAATTTATTGAGAAATTTTTTCTTGTAAAGTTTGAAGTTGCACAAGAGGTTGATGGATGAGCTGCTACTTTTTTTGGAAGAGGCACTTGATTTTACTTTCCTCATTGTTGTGTCCCCCATTGTCGTGTTCGCCATTTTATGATCCCCGTCGGAGGACCTCTTTTTCCTTCTCTTTTTGATGTAGGTTTGAATGAAATTTTCCACTTGCGGGAAAATCTCATCTTCTGGGAAGAAGGGTATTCTGGAGGGGTCTCCTCCTCCCTTCAAAGTGTGCATTCCGCCTGGGGGGGCGAATGAATCGGTGCTTCCAGAAGAGTGATCATCGTGGAAGCTGTCACCTAAATGGTTGTTACTTCCCCCGCGGATTGCGCTTTCACGAAATGTGGCATACCCATCAGTGCTCATGGGTTTCCTGCCGTCCACACCGTCCAGTGTCCATCCTATATCATCATACTCTGTCGAAAATTGGTCATAACCCTCCAGTGGGAAAAGGAAAAGGTGCCAAAAGATCTGCTTCTTCGCACCGCCATTCAGCATTTCAAGGAGCTTATTGTAATAATTTTTTTTTCTCGGCTTAATATTTTTAACAATGGAATGCACCAAAGTGGAGAGTTTTTTTTTATAATTTTTTTTTTTATACTTTTTTCGTAATGTATACATATCATGAGTTCGTTTCTTTTCTTTCCTATTTTTTTCTTCCTTCAATTCATCTTCATTTATTTTTTTCTTACTTCTAATTGCGTCTTCCACGGATGTTTTTTTCAAACTGTACTGTTTGTTCCGGCCGGCTGTTGACAGGCTCCTTTTTTTGGGTGCCATTCTTTTTGAAATTATGTTTAGAATTCCCTTTTTTGCCATTTCCCCGTCACTTCGGCAGGTGCATTCGTGTGCGTCCTTTTTGCGATGTGGGGAAATCCGTTGGTAGGTCAATCTATGTAACGGTTTGCCATCTCCCTCTGGAGCAAGTCCGTCTTCGTAGGGCTTTTTCGAGACAGTCGCACCATCCGCATCCACCGCGTCCGGCGCCTCCCCCTCCATATCGGTGGACAACTCGTCCGAAATGAGAACCTCCTCTTGCAGCTCATGCATCTTTATGTTGATTCCCCAGAGGAGCATCAGCAAGTGGAGAATCAGGTTTCTTTTTACGTACCTCTGGGGGTGTAACGCTTGTGGTTTATTCTCACTCGGTGTGAGTCCCAATTGGTCGTCCCCTCTGGGGGCAAACGGGGTAAGTGTTTCCTTGGATGGGTCTTCCTCAGGGAGGGCAACGCTTCGGTGTATTACTTGTGTGCTGCTGTCGCGCTGCGTGGAGGAGAACGCCTCAGTGGAGGACCCCTCGGAGGAGGAGGAGAAGAAGGGTGAAAGGGAGTCCATATGGAGGTAAAAATTGCCCGCTAGGGAAATGCCCCCAACGGACTCGCTTCCTCCAACGGACCCACTTCTTCCAACAGCCCCAACGGGGTGGTGACTTAACTCCTGCTTGAAAAAACGGGAAAGAAGTAAAAACATATCCATCAGAAGAAAGAGAAGGAAGTTCCTCACAAAAGTGATGGTGAACTGAAAATTTTGGACCATTTTTTTCTTTCTGTAAAATTTCTCCAGCCCAATTAAAATGTTCTCCTTATACAGGTGAAAATTTAGAGGCAAGTTAGAAACGAGGAAGCTCCACACTTCTTCAAACGTTATGCTATTCGTATCGGAACAATAAAAAGATGAATGCAGATAAAATATGTAGTAGAAGTTGTTAAAATTGTATTGATGCACAAGGGTATAATTTAAAAATAATCTTCTGTCTATGAAGAATAGCAGTGGAATGATGTCTTTATCTGTGATGGTGTAGTTTTTCTTCTTGAATTCGTCGAAGATGAGTTTTATTTTATCCTTTTGGTTGATTATGAGTCTTCGTCCGTCTTCTTCTCGCACCCATTTGTCTAGCACAAAGTGGATCCTCTTTTCGAAGTAGGAGCTTTCTCTTCTTTCCAGTTCTTTGATTAACTCATCCAGGTTTTCTCCGACTCCATGTGGGTCGTCATCACAAGGAGGGTCCACATTGGGGTGACCCTGCTGCTGAATCGGGAGTTTTCCACCCTCGTTTGCATCGCTACTTCTCCCCCCTTTCGATTCCTCCAAATCGAGCGTTATGTTAAACGCATTAGCCGCCACAGGAACATTTCCAAACGAGTTGGTCGAAGCCAAGTTCAAGCTGAGTGACGAGTCGCGCCTACCAGGTAGTAGCTTCTTGCCCCTCACTTTAATACGCTCCTCATAGTAGGAATTATAGGAGGCTATTTCGTCGGCTGATAAAACGTTTTTCTTGCTATAAATGGACTTCAAAATGTCCCTCCTTTTTTGCAGCCTTTTCAATTTGTTCTCTTCCGCGACTAAGTCATAGTTGTTGTAAAAATCGTTGATTTCTTTTTCAACTTGGGTCAATTCGGCGTCTTTTTCTTTCTCATCAGTATGGCCGAGGTCAGTTCCATTGGTCTGCACTTCACCAGTGGTAAGGAAGAACTCATCATGGATAAGTTTGTCTAATTCAATAGTCCCCTTCTTTTGGAACCTCCCCCCTGCAGAGAAACATCCACTAAGTTCTTCTTCAAACAAGCTGTTCTCCTTATCACTTTGTGAAAAGTCCTCATCCGTCAAGCGTATAATATATTGAGAGAACAATAAAATTGGGTCGAAATTTTTTATAACCTGTTTGTAACATTCATCATTTTTATGTTCATTTAATTTGGCAACATAAACAACGAACGCGTCAAACGTTTTCTTTAACATAGGGAAGACGTTACAATACATGTACGTGTCTATACTGTCCCTTTCTGTATGTTCGAAGGCATTATTTAAAACGATGTCGTAAAGATTGGCATACTTTTCCAGCTCCTTTTGTTCTGATTTGTTCATGTAATTTCGGTAAAAAGATATCACTTCTTTGGATTTCTCTACATACTTTTTCTTCAAATTGTTTTTTTCCCTTTGCTCCTTTCGTTCCTTCTTCTCTGTGTCTTTGCAAACGCTGCGGTGGTCTCCTCGTGGATCGCAGTGCAGTGGATTATTATTTCCTTCTGGTACTTGTTCCTCCTCCACATCATCGTCGTCTTTCCTTTCTTTGTTCGAGTCCCCCAGTAGGGTATGCAGCATGTTCCGAATGATGTCCAACTTCTTATTTTCGTTCATCTTGTTGGGTTCGTCGAATCGCCGAAAGGGGAATTCCCTCTGGAGTTCTGTCGCTGTGCAGCTGTGCGCGTTTTAGACGCTCCGTCGCGGCCACGCTGGGTCTTCCCCCCGGGCGGCCTCGGTTAGCAGTCCCCCAGCAGTACGTTAGGACTCCTTCACTGTTAGCGCAGTGGCCCATACGTTCCCTTATCCATTTTTTCCTTCTACGCACGTGGACTCCTTTGGATCAGCGACATATTTTTCTCCCTACTTATCCGTTGCCTCGGTCCTTAGCTGGCTCGCTCGTTCGTTTTTTTTTTTTTCTTTTTCGCGCTTTTTTTAACACGACTACAGGGTTCCGATCGAGGTGTGCACATGTGGAGGGGCAGGATAAGAAGAGAGGGAGGAGATGCTAGCTTTCCTAGACAGTGGCTCATCGTGTGTCCCTGCGCTTTGGAGTATGCCACGGGGATTCATTCGCATCGGCGATGTTGTTCTTTTTTTCGTTAAGCGAATTTTGAAGATAGAGTGAACGGGGATTTTTTTTTCCTTTTTTTTCTCCGCTGGGGGAGGAGAAAATACTTTGCAAGACCTACGCGTGCAGCGGTTTCCAAGTCCGTCACTTCTTGCTTAGTGAACTCTGGCAGAGAGGAGTGGCTATTTATTTTTTTAAAATGCATAACATAGTTTCTGTCCTTTTTTGCGCAGTTTTTTTGTTCCTGTGTGAAACCCTTTTGTGCATCGTCGGGACATGTGAAACGTATCCTGGAGGGGCTCCCCTCTGCGTTAACGGATCGGAGGGCGACGGGGAAAAGTCAAAATGGGCTAGGAGATGAAATGGCGACGCAGCGATGGGGTAGTGGCGGGCTTATTGGGCAATTTTCCACCCACAGACGGTGCACACATCTCCAGAAATGCTGCACACATGTCCACAATCTACTTCACCCCTTCTCGGGAACCATTAACATAAACAGGACGGTGCCCCAGGGCGGGGTAGCTGAACCGCATGTTTCGTACGACGACGCCCCAACCGTTACTTTTACCAGACGGGTTGGAAATGATCCTCCCCGGAGTGTTCCACTTGGAGGGAGATATTAAATGATCAGTGGATCATTTTAATTGGCTTCTTTTTTTGTTTCTGTTTCTGTTCTGCCTTTTTTTAAATTGTCCCTACCGTGGGGTAAAAATGGATACCAAGAATGATGAATGACCAACTTGGAGAATTTGCCTGCTTCTTTGTCTCCATTTTTATTGTTTTTTTTTCATCCCTTTTGCGTGCGAACACGTGGAAGATAAAAATGAGGAGATGCGAAACAGCCAAATGGAGAGCTTTGAAGTGTCCGTTTCTTGAGTGAAATTTCCTCGACCCATAACCGAAGTAACCCATTTGTTCTTCCAACTTGTCATCGAAAAGATTAACCCAGCTGGTTTAGTACTGCTTCTCAAAGGGAGACAGAGTTTCTACACTCAGTAACGACATATATGCTTCTCTGTATCGTTGTGCCGATTGGAAATCCCGTGTCGCAGAGGAGTTGAACGGTCTATGCAAAGGTGGATCCTCTGGAGACATCCCTACTGCGTAAGCTCTGTCGAAGGAAGGAAAAGTTTGCCAATCTTGGCAAAACTTGAGCGAACTTTGCCTAACTCCAACTGTGCCAACTTCGCCTGAGTGGGAACGAGCATACTCATCATGAGCATACCATTTGCGAGGCATACAAGAGGGGTAGCTCATTCTTTTGCGTCCCTTGGAGTGCTGGGGGAAGCCCCAATGATTGTTCCACGTGGAAGGAAGAAGCAAGGGTGGAAGTGAACGTGAAGGTGAAAGGCTTCCTTCTTTGCGAGGAGATTATCCACCCTGCGAAGATTATCCACTAAAGGGTAACATAACTCTAAGGGCTAAACACTGCACGGATACCTTCCCAGCCCCTGAACCTTAAAGCGGTCGTCTCCGAAAGGCTAAGCACTGAACGACAAACACAAAAGGCAAACACATTTTTCTCGCTTCCATTTTTTTTTTTTCTTCTGTGCAAAGTCTCAAAATGCAAAATATTTGCATAAAAGAAAAGTACACCTAAAAATGACCACATGGAGGAGGTACATACGATTATGTGCGTGTAAAACATGGGTACGCAAAAAATGTGCCACTAATACTAACATTGTTCGTATGCTCGTAACCCTTTTCTGTAATTCTCCCTGCGAAGGGAGAAGATAACATAAAATAAATGCGAAAATGGGGAAAAAAAAAAAACAGATTAGGAGAGCGGAAAAATACCACGAGGAATGTACATATAAAAATCTTGATCATTCCTTTTCGTTCCTTTGCTCCTTTATGGAAAAGATAAAATCTTTTGTTCTTCCTTCATTCCTTCCTTTTTTTTTTTTTCCAAGGGTGATAAGAGCAAAGAAAAAATTCCAAGTGAAGGGAGTCATGTTTCATGAAATGGAATGTTCCCTTGTGCTGATTTTACACGCGCGGCTAAGTTACGTCGCAGCTGCATTGTGGCTGCATCGCGGCTACGTCGCAGTTGCGCCACCCTTGGTAGCAGTTTGGCTCTTGTTATTCTCCTGCTTAATCCCTCTGTGTAGTTGCATTGTTTAGTTTTTTCCTTTTTTTTTTTTTTTCCTTTCATTTTCGCCTTTTATGCGTGATATAATGTGAGCCTCTAGCCAATCGTATCCTTGTGGGAAATTCGTTGAGGCGTCTGATCGTCCGTTAATCCGTTTGTCCGTTCGTGTGGACAAGTGTGCACGTCTAACAAACTAGGTAACAGTGTGCCCATGCAGAGACTTTCCTACACTTACACAATTCGCTATCATTACGCAGTTGCCTAGGCTTATGCTCTTGCCTGCCCTTACGCACATGTTCAAACCAGAACGTAAGGAAAATGAAAAGGCAGGGGAACCACCTGAACGCCCTAAATGACATCAACCATCAAAATGAGGAGGCAAAACACAACTATATGAATTCCGGTGTGGACAACCACAAGTACTGGCAGTATAACACTCTCCTTCTTTACAATGTGATTATGATTTATACGTGCGAATGGCCCTCGCTCTTTATCGAGTGGGTGCCTGGCGTGTGCAGGTAGGTGACGGGTCGCGCCATGATCAGAGGTTGCGTCGCGAGCATATATTGCGCATGTGTGTGAGAGGTGGACATACGCAAAGATCATCCCATCGATGTGTGATCCTAATGAGGTGGAATTGCCTCTTTGTTTCTTTGTTTCGTTGTTTCTTTGTTTCTTTGTTTCTTTGTTTCTTTGATTCTTTG